GGCTTCCCACCCTACGTGAGTGTTCTAGGAACCCACCTGTATCATTGTGCCAGCTGGTGTTGTTGTGAGAGGCTGTGCTCAGCTTTAGTGAATTTTCTTTGAAGACTCAGCGCATTGTCCATTTCCTGATGAGTGATTTATGAGCATACCTGCCCATACTACACTGAGTGTTCAGCAGTTTTTGGCCAAAAACTTCATGACCCCCACGGCAGGGGTTTCAGTTCACTCAATCTCATCCAAGTGACTTTATTTTGTTTATCTGGATGAAAAATGTTCTCAAAGGGAAATATTTTGCCCATACAGAGAAATTGAAACAAACAGATAAAAATACAAAAAAAATGGCAGAAGACATCAAAATCAACAAGTTCCAAAACTGTTTTGCACAGTGGAGAAAACGTCTTGATAGTTATATTGTATCAAATGGAGAGTGCTTTGCAGGTGACTGGAGCTTAAACATATAAGAATATGTATATACTTTTTTATAAATAAATTCTGTATTTTGAGGGGGGGAGTCTCCTCTTGTATTACAGAGTATTAACCAGGAGGTTCGATGACCAGTTGGGAAGGGACCGCAGTCACTGAGACAGGAAAGGATGAGAGCCTAAATTAGAATAGTAGCATTCAAAACAGAGAGAGAAGCTTCAAGACTGAAAGGAATTACAAGCAGCAGAACTGAAAGTTCTTGCAGCTTAGTTTAAGTAGGAGGGAGAAGAAAGAAGAGCCAAGGGTCAGTTTTCTCACGGGTGCCTGAGTGTCTGGAGATGCTGCTAAGCATTACATGCAGCACAGAGCGTGGTAAGATATGTATTCTCTATGTACTGAGTGTGTGAGGCCTACAGAATATCCAGGAAAGGGGATGCAAATTCAGCATGGAGTCCAGGAAAGGTTGAAAGTAGATACCAATCAAAACTGCCAGTTATAGGAGTTTGTTGAAACCAAGAGAACTGATGAAACAATTATAGCTTTCAACCCAGCTATTAGCTGTCACTCAGGTGATATGGGAACCTGTGAGTAACAGGGAAGAAAATTCATTGCCAGGAAGCAGAAACAACCCCCAGATCCCAGAATCACCGCCATCTGAGTTCTCCAGCTATGTGCTTGGCAGAAGCTGAACAACAGCATCCACAGAGAAAACATATTTTGTCTTGTAGATCCAATTTTTCTTGCCCAAAAATTTTAGTTTGGATATAAAAACTATATGATATCTGACATATGGTTGGTTTAGGAATTTTTGTTTTCCTCATTAATTTAATCAGATTTGCATATGATCCATTTGATCACTTATCACAATCAACTGTAAAGTCAATACATATTTAACAAAAATCTGAAAAGCTTATATACACAGGAGTTAGACACGCTATGAATATGAACTTGGAAATAGATGCAAAGTTTCTTTCTGAAGTTTTCTCTTTCGGGCCCCTTCCCTTTTCCATCTCTCCAGGGGAAATCAGCGTCACAATAATTCAATGTGAAATTCTTCTATGGTTTTTGTTTTGGTGGCTCCATAAGTGTCAGAGAGGTGAAGGCATCAGAGTGGTTATTGCAAAGTATCTCCATGGTACTCATCAATATCCAATGTGTTTTAGTCAGTTGGATTTTTTGTGGTCGTAAAGATCTAGTCATTGTGTAAATGTCCCATAGTTGTCTCATCCACTCATCTACTGATGGGCACCGGGGCTGCTTCCATATCTTGACAATTGTAAATAATGCTGCAGTGAACATAGGGGTGCTTATGTTCTTTCAAATTAGTGTTTTGGGTTCCTTCAGATATATTCCCAGAGGTAAGATCACTGGGTCAAAAGGCAGATCCACGTTTAATTTTTTGAGGTGTCTCCACACTGCTTTCCACAGTGGCTGCACCAGTCTGCGTCCCACCAACATTGCAGAAGGGTTGGAATTCTACTTGGCCATTAAAAAGAAAAATTTACCATTTGCAACAGTGTGGATGGACCTGGACAACATTATGCTAAGTGAAATAAGCGAAGCAGAGAAAGACAAATACTATACGATTTCAGTTATATGTGGAATCTAATGAACAAATTGAACAGGCAAAACAGAGACAGACTCATAGATGGACAGCAGATGACAGCTAGTGGGGAGAAGGAGGTTGGGGGTAAAGGGACTAAGCAAAAACAAAAAAAGACTCATGGACATAGACAGCAGTGTGATGATTGCTGGGGGGATGGGGGTGTAAGGGGACTAAATGGAAATGGAAAAATACAATAAAGATTAAATAAAAAAAAGATCTAGTCATTATTTTATTTTCCTAGGTGTGATATTTCATAGGATAAACAGTATTTGACATGGTTTAAACCTTTGATTTATCTAAAGCATTTGAAAATCATCCTTAGTTACAATGGCTGTTTTTCTTCGGTAAAAGCGATTAAAGTGTTTTTGTTAATGATATCAGAGTAGTTACTCTGATATCATTAACAAAAACACTTTAATCGCTTGTACACTGTAGTAGTCTCTGTAAGTTGTGAACTTTCTTTTTATTAATAATTGTTTTTAAAATTATAAAAAAACACACACACACTTAAAACTTTTAAACTATGGCCCTGATCAGTGTGGCTCAGTTGGTTGGGCACTGTCCTGCAAAGCAAAGCATCATCCAATGCTTTGATTCCCAGTCATGGCACATACCTGGGTTGTGGGTTTGGTCCCTGGTCACAGAGGCTGCAAGAGGTAACCAATCAATGTATCTCTCTCTCACATTGATGTTTCTCTCCCTTTCTTTCTCCCTCTCTTCCCCTCTCTCTAAAAATAAATAAGTAAAATCTTTAAAAAGCTTTTAACCTATAAAAAGCATAAATGTAACATAAAAAAGGAAAAGGTAGGAACGTCCATGGTCATTGGAAACTTGGGCCACATTTCGTACACTTAATAGCCACCTGTAAAGGAATGGATAACATTTCTAAAAAGAATGACATAGTAACATCATGGTTTGTACTCTTACTTTTACCTAAAACAAAACAAAACAAAACAAAATTTTGTGATTGTTCCTTATCAGCACTCACGGCTCTACTTCATTCTTTTGAAAAGCTATATGGTAATATGTAGTATGAATGTTCCAAAATTTATAATGACCCTATCGATGCTACTACAGCAACTACTATTGGTGGATACTATACTGCTCAGAACAGACTTATACACACATTTTTGCATACATTTATCTGTAGAATACATTCTTAGAAGTTGAGTTGCTGGCTCAGATGATAAATGAATTTTTAATTCTGACTCATATTGCCAAACTGTCTTCCAAAGAAGTTGTAACAATTTGCATCCTCACTAGCAATGAAAAAGAATGTCTGCTTCCCCTGATCCCCTCTAATACAGCATTCTAAAATATTTCTGTATCTTTGCCAACCTGATGATTCAAAAATGGTATCTTGTGGCTTAGTTTGCATTTGAGAAATGGCATTTCATTGTGGTTTGATTTGCATTTCCATAACTATTTCTTTTTCTGTGAATCATATACTTACATATTTTGCTCATTATCCCAATGGGTGTTTTTTACTTTTATTTTTTCCATTTTTTCTAATTTTCTCATTAGGAAAACTAATGTGTTGTTACACTTGTTGCAAAAATATCTACCAAGTTTGTTTAATCTGTGAATTCACTTATGGCATTTTTATGATGTTATAAGTTTAATTTTACAACTTGAAATTTATGAATTGTCTATGTCTATGATCTCTTTTGTATTTTGCTTAGAAAATATTCTCAACATTACAAATATAAAAGCAAGGTTTTCAATGTTTTTTAATCATTATATTTAATTCTTTGATCCATCTGAAAAGTTTTGGAGATAAGGAATGAGGAAGGGTCCAGTCTGATATTTTAAAAATCTTAAACCACTTATAATACTCTATCACTTCCTCATGATTTATCATATATCAAATCCTTATGTAATTCAGTCTATTTCTTGACCTTATTCTGTTCTATTCTTCTGCCTGACAAAATTCTCTTCGTTTGTCATTCTATGATATATTTAACTACACAGTAAGCTCTCTCTCTCTCAATTTTTTCTCCTATTAGTATTTTCCAGGTAATCTTTCATGCTTGTTTTATCATAAAATATTTAAAATCAGCTTGGGTAGTAAATAAAAATTAAAATCTTATTGATAACATTATAAAGATTGTTTTAAATTTCTGTATCAATTTAGGATAAATTGATACATTTTAAAATATTGTCTTCTTACCACTCCCCAACAGAATGTATCTTTCCATTTGTTAAATTAGCCACTGATGATCCTCCAAATTATTTCAAATTTTTCTTCACATGGAACTTGTACATTTACTAGGTTTATTCTTATTCATTTTTCTGTTCTAGTTCATGTTGCATGTAAGTCTATCATTCAGATATGTACTCTACATGACGTTTGTTTATACATAGAAAAGCCATTGATTTTTTTCAGGATTTTAGATTAATTTTAATAGTTTCTTTGGTGTTTATATGCTTTTCTTGTTTGTTCGAGACTCAATTTTCTACAAAAAAATAAAGTTGGTTCTTCCTTTCTAATTTTTATACCAAGGAAGAAAAAAATAGCAATGTATTCATGATGCCTTTAGCGACTCAGAAATTCTAAACCTGTAGATAGGAAAAGCTGTCAATCTCCATGTTCAAAGCTTCTCAAGTTCATGTATTGCTTTGAAAGTCTCCCATTCTGCAAATGCTAAAGACACATTCTTCTATATTTTCTTCTAATATTTTATAGTTTTCAGTTTTACATTTAGATCTTTAATCCATCTGGAATTTATTTCTATATATTGCGTGAGATAAAAATCTAACTTTATTTTTTCCAGATGGTTCGCAAAATTTCCCAACATCATTTATAAAATTGGTCAGTCTTTCCTCACTAGTTTGAAATGCCACTTTAGTCATACTCTAAATAGATCAGTTTTTTTTAAACCAGACCTTAAAAAGTAAATGAAATGAATTACAGTAGAGAACAAAGACAAGAAATTCAAGCAAAAAATAGACATCGAGGTAAAGCTGTAGGCAAATTACTTTATGCATATAAAACAAAATACAAAGGTCATTCATGGCAAAATATTATAAATATGAATAATTCAGAGGAAATATTCTTATAAAATACATGCTGGACACTCATAATATATAAGGCCATAGCACTTGTTATTCAAATGTTGTTTAGAGTTACTCCTGTCATAAGGAACGTTATTTGAAGTCTCAGAGCTATAAACACCCTCCAGCTGTAGTTTAATCCCAAATCAGATCTTTCCGAGAGTGGATCAGAATGTCCATTAAATGAAAAACACAAAGTCTGACATTAGAAAAAGGGTAACAATCTTTCCTTGTAATTCAATTGTTTGCTTTTTTCAGTTACTTCTCCAAGGCTCCATAATACTTCAGGATCTCACTTTCCTGGCACCAGATTAGAGTGAATGTGGACAGAGACTTGGCCTCTTGCAATTCTTTCTTTTAACAGGAGAGTTGATTAAGAGTCATGGAGATTAAATGCCAAACATGGTAAGAGTCAGTGTTGAGCTTTGAAACCTGGGTAAAACCCCTAAAGCATGCACACCTACAATGCACGCCTTCCGACGCTTTGAAAAATTGCTATTAAGTTAGCAATTAATATTACAATAGTAAATCCCGATATTTCTTAGCCTGTCTTTCTGATATTATGAGTCCTGAACTGCTGCTGCCTGTTAGTGAAACAGCAGCAGAGCCAACTGCTACATGTGGGCAGCAATGTTCATTTGGGAAGATTAAAAAGAATGTTATTGCCAACTCAAATTTTTACTTGTATATGTTATCTGTTTCAGTTTAAATATGAATTAACAACATCATCAAAGACAGAGACAGTTTACTAATCTTGCAATGTCAAGTTACGTTCTCTGAGATTAATCTTTAGAAAGGGTAAAGAAAACACACAAAATGTTTATGAGATGAGTTTTTACACAGAATCACTAAAATAGGTACATTGTGTTTTCTCACAAGTGAACTATGTTTTGAGAGAGGATATTTGACTGAGTTTTATTCAAGCAATTAAAATAAAACAGCGATAACAAATGAGCCACTTTCTTCGGCGGCAGGGAACTGGCCTGTGTCTGTACAGGGTATACAGGGTCCGTACAGGTACAGAGGTGTGGCCTGCATTATATCATACAGATGATCAGAGTCACCTCTCTGATTACAAATTAAAGGGACACAAGTCCCAGGATGTCAACATATTCCAGCCACTTTACTTACAGCAGACACTTGGATGCTTTCAAACATCCTGTTTAGCATTCTACTAAAAAATGCTAAGTATTCTACTAAAAAAAATTAAATAACTAAATAAATTTTTAGCTTTTCATGAGGGGTGCTAGGGATACAACTTGCACTTAAGTTTTATTTTTAAATAAGCTAAATGGATATAGATTTTATTTCTACAATAAGAACAGTAATTTCAAAAGAGTTGGAGCACTGGCAGTTAGGTTAACCAATGACGCCCTAAGTAGATTTTCCTGGAAAACGTTGCCACAGTGTGTTTCTGTTCTTCCCACCATCAGCTGCTGTGATGGTCCTGGGTGCTTTCTGCCTTCTTGGAGCTCAAAGTGCAGCGAGGCTTCGAACTTCATATTTCCCAGGCCTTCGGCAGAATGTTAATTACAAAATACTTCACTTAAATACTAGAAACTCATTCACAAAGCCGTGCCAAGTCTTAGATGCGAAAGCATTTAAAAATATCCTTGCAACAGCCCGTATTACTTTATACTGATCTATTTTTAGAGGCCCACTGTTTGTTTTGCTGGAAAAAAATTCAAACATGAAAAGTATGCCATGAGCAAATCTGCAATAATAAGTAGCACATACATGTTGTGGAGGAAAACATTCACCATAAAATAGTCAACAGAAAAACAGACTCTGCTGAGGCATTTTTATAAATAGCAGTTATTATTTTGCTTTCAGTTGTGAAGCATTTTAAATAACATGCCCTTAAAAGTTGTCAAGTTTCTTCCTTTATATAGATATGATTTCCTGATCTTTCATAAAATTATTATGGAAAATTATAAATGCATCCCATTAGTTTCATGGGTAACTTTACAATCAGATTGTTAAAATGAGAAACACATGGAAGAAAAGAAATAGAAGCATGGTATGAGGCACTGAGGAACGCATTACTCGGAAACTACTGATTTCTCTGCATAAAAACAGAGATTGCTTATGAAAGTTTTTATCAGATATTTTGAACAGATATCATGTCACATGGACTTATAGATAAAATTGTCCCAATTAATTGTCCCAATGAAGTCACACCTAATCTAAGGTTATACCCTGCGTTATTTCAAAGTCTCTCTGAGTTCCTGAGGATAATAAGAGGAGCCCCAGAAAAATAGTTTTTAAACTGTTTGCCTCATGCAATTACTCTGATATAGCCAGGTAAGTTTTCACACTGTACGTTTAAAAGCAAAAATAAGAAAGAAAACGTTCTGAATTACCTCCATCTGGAAAGTACAGCAGTGTATAGAAAAAGTGTGACTATCTCAATATAGGAAAAATGAACTCTTAATGCAGAGAACAAAGGCAAATGTCCTGATTTCCAAATGCTGTACCACACGTATTCTGACCCCTATCACTAATCGAAGGCCATGGGGCTGATGCAAGCCTCCATCACCAGCCCCTTTCCTGAGACCTAAGGCCATGCCTTGTTGTGGCAGCTCAGAGGGGCTGCAGTGACTGCTGGCAGTCACCAAAAACTATGGTAACACTTCAAGGGCCTGAAACCCCATTATTCACTGATTCAGCACTTCCTTGCACCAACGCACAAAATTCGACTTGGGTATACAGAAAACAGTGAAGTTCAGTTAAGAAAAATACTGACAAATTCTGCAAATCACGTTCAGAGTGGAAATTGTGACTTTGCTCGCATTACCAGGATATCCTGCCTCGCAACCAGTAGATCTCTAACTGAAATGGCTTGCTGTGAATTTTGTGGTGCTCAAGCCAAAAGCAATAAAATTCCTGTAAGAGCATATGCGCCTTGACAGAGCACCACATCAGCCCAGAAAAATGATGTTCTGGGAAGGCGTGTGCAGCAGTGAAGAGGGCTCTCCGTGCTCTAGTAGCTGGGCTGAGATGTTCACTGTCTCTAGCACACACTGAGGTAATTTTAAAGACACATTACCCTTTATTTGTTCTGCATTCACAGAATGTACTTTTTTTTTTTAACGTCAGAGGGACATTGCAGAAGAGATCATATGAGATAGTCTGACAATGGAGCCGAAGTTCAAAGCTTCTGTTTTCAGGTAACCGCTGGGACAGTTTGCACTGAATCTCCTGAGGGCATGTCATTGGAACCCGGTCCACAGCTTTGCAAACCCTTCAGGACAAACAAATCACTTAGTCGATGAAACACTCTAACATCTGATACCATCACACAGAAGTCAAAGCCATGGCCGCTAATCAAAGTTCTTTCCATTCAGTTAAAAAAAAAAATTCCCAGCTTTGTTTTGATAACCTAAAACTAAAAGCCCTTCCAAAGTGAAAGGCAATAAACATTTATTTGAGATCGATAAAAATAGCTATTCAGAAAGCACCGATTCAGGGGGAAGCCCAAATAATGCTCCAACGAGGAGACAAAGACCAGGGGTATTTCTGAGAAAGGGAAGGAGAACGGTGACATCAATAGAAGGAAGGCACTTCTATGGGTGCGCATAACATGACACAAGGATGCTAATGCTAAACAAGGTTTTCAGTTGGTGGTCAGGTAGCTGTAAATCCGGTAGTCAGAATATCTACTTTTCTTGTTATCCTTGCGGGCAGTTTTTGGGGGATACAATGTTGCTCTAGGTCCCATCCAAAGGTAGTTTTGTTTTGTGGTCTTAACCTTCCAAAGTGTGAGGCGTCAGACCTGCAAGGATGGCAGCTCTAGCTCCATTTTAAAGTGACTCCATGGACATTATTTTGACTGGTTTAAGATCATTTTTATGTTGTTCTTTGGAAAATTATGATTAGGCAAGGTTTTTTTTTTTAAAAAGGAAGAAGGAGATTCTGTTTGTAAGAAAAACTGGCAAGTCAAATAATTCACTTGCATGCTACTGTCGATAAATAACTACGGCGTGGGGTAATCACCGTCGGAGGCGACTGGCGAGCCCCGCAAAGGCATCGCCACGCCCTCCTTGGAGCCTCTCTCCCAGTCCCCAGGTGAGACCCCTCTGTCGGCTGCTCCAGCGGGACCACTGTGCTCTCCTTGCAGAACTTGTGGCTGGCTTTGCAAGGAGGCCCGGACGACCAGGACCAAGATAACCAAGCGGTAGAGGTGTAACACCACCACGAGGAAATTCTTCACAGCGAAGAACACCAGCATCTGGTTGATCACGTTGAAATAGGTCATCAGCACGAGCCGCACGGTAAGGAAGGGGCCGTCTTGGATGAAGACAGTGATCCCAATGTTCCACAGATCGGCGCTGTGCTGGCAAAATAACATGCTGGGGAACGCCCTGGCTCTGAAAGACGAGGGGCACACGTCATGCTGCACTGGAAACACAAGACAGACCGGTTAATGTCTCTCTCCGAAACGTCAGAAAGTAAGCCAGAATGGAATGGGAACAAGCCTTCCACACTGGGTGCTATGCTAGTTGGTGACCGGGAGTGACTGACATGTCTCCTGTCCGCACCGCTGAACCACCCCGCCGTTCAACACCCTCCGGCATTTTACAGTCCCGGCTGACATGTTGTGTTTTCAGTCCAATGCACCAAAGAAAGCCGGCCCTCGGTTTACATCCACGTGAAAAATGCAGATCACCTTCTAGTGCTCACTCTGGGAAAAGCACAATTAGCACGGATAGAGAAAATAAAGAACAGAGGAGACCTGCCTGTCTGCCCCGGGGGTCTGCAGGTGCAGGGAGGCAGCCTGGCCGGTGCTCGAGGTCTCAAGCCAGGGGGCCTGCCTGCCTCTCCTTGGCGTCCTTGGTCTCTAGCAGGAAGATGCTGGGCAGGTTATTTCATCTGCCTGGGCCTCAGTTTCCTTCTCTGAAAAATGGGAAACTGATATCTGTGAGGAGAGGGGCCTATTCTCTGATTCATTTATTTCTGCTGGAATAATAATACCCTTGGCTCCTTTCACCTTTCTCACACTATCTTTCCCTTGGGATAATGAAGGACCTTCTTGGTGGCCAAGTGTGGAGAAGGAGCAGCGGATACGTGCCCGCGGTCCTTCTGGAACCTCTCTTTGAGATCTACCTGTTCACTGGTTGACCTACTTGGCCCTGTGTGTACATCATGTTGTGAAAATTCTAGCACTTATATTCAGATTCAAACTGCATTCACGTTGAACATATTTTTCTGATGGCGGTAAAAAAACGCCATTGTTATTTTATTTTGTCTAATTCCTCATGGTTTTGTTTCACAGTTTATAAGAAAAACTGGATGTAATTACTGATTTTCCAGTTGAACAAAAGGAGGTCCAATCAACACATGAAACTTTTTGGTTTAAATTCTAAAATGTGAATTTAATTTGGGGTCAAGGGCAGAAAATAATTCTTTAATAATAATGACGCCTTTCATTTGGAGTTTTCAAACAAAGAATGCCTTGTCTACTAAAGCCAGCAAATATTATGAAGCTGCTTTGATATGAACGTAATGCCCTGTTTGCTGGAAAATACAATAGTAATTTAGTCAGAAGTAACATTTGGTCTTTGTTTTTCAAACAGCTGCATAACATTATCACCCCTGAAAGTTTACACAATTTCTTTCTTATATAAAAATTTTCTTAGCAAGGCTGTAAACCACAAGGTATGGGAGGGTGATGACCAACAGAATGAATGACAAAAGAAAAACCAACATAAGATCAATAGCCTTTCCCAAAGAAGTTTGGGTCAGGAAAAGACTTCCGGGGGACCCCCTAAGAGTATCATTCCACATCTAGACTCTTGGTGCCTCATATTCTGTCAGAAGACACCAGCTGACCGACGGCTATAGGACACCTTCCAGAGCACATTACGAAAAATCTCTCTCCCTCCCTCTTTCTCTCTCTCTCTGTTATTGGCATACATTTGTTTGTCATTATTTACTAGTAATTAGGTAAAGCTACAGCCACTCATATCATCTATTCTGGTGGTAATTTTGTTTCAGAAAAGTAGATGTTTAAGTCTAAAATGGCCTCTGAAACCTCTGGGCATGCCAAAGTGAGCCAAAAAAAGATTTAAAAAAATTAGCTATTCCTGCCCTAAAGTTAATTCTAATCCTGGGGGTAGGGCGCCATACCAAATAAGACAGACTTAAGGAAAATGTAACTAGTAAACCCTGGAATTTTTCCAAGTAAAGTGGGGTCCAGAAGAATTTCCAAATCAAGATTGCAGTGTTCCTGGAAGTTACAGGAAAACTCCGGATCAGTGCTGTCCCGTGGGGCCTGAGATGGTAGAAATGTTCTGTGTCTGTGCTGCCTGTGACTGTAGCCACGTGTGCAACTGAGTGCTGGAAATGTGACTGGTGTGACTGAGGAACTGGACTTCTAATTTTATTCCATTTTAATTAAGTTTAATTTTCAGCAGCCAAATTTGACTGGTAGATACCATTAAACAATGTAGCCCTTGACCATCACTAGTACAAAAAATATCTAGAAAACGATTTACTTCTTGCCAAGTCTTGGGGTTTATGTCTTTATTAAAAGAAGACCCATGAGATTTCTAGAGCCACTACTGAGAAAATTTTAATTTTCCATATGGCCCTGAAACTTCTTTTACTCCCTGTGATATTCCAATACATAGGCCTGACAAAGCCATGAAAATGACCCCTTAAAAATATCAAGAGATAACATTTATATGCCAGCAACTGTGCTAAGCACTTTACAAACGATATCTGATTTAGTCCTCAGAAGAACCGTCAACCCCAGCCCCCATGATGACCATCCCCGTTCTGGAGATGAGGGACTGACACACAGATGTGTTCACTCATTTGCAGGAGGTTTTACAAGCTCACATGATGGAACCACTCTGGGAAGTGAAGGTAGAGCCGTGCTCTATGCGCTCAGCTCGCTCAGACTCATCACGGACCAGAGTGAATCTTGGGTGGCTTTTCTAAATTTGAATCTACTTTGTGTCTAAACAGAACTGGCACTAACACTGAGATAGCAAAAGGTAAAAATGGTAATTCTCTCAAATCCCCCCTTAGCTTCCTTCTAGTCAAGAGTTGCAATTTTCTATTTCTTTGAGAAAATATCAAAATACTTACCTGCCAGGTCGAGGGGAAACTGCAGCAGGCCCCAGGTCCATATAAAAAGGATGGCATAGACGAGGGCAGGGTTATTCCTGGAACGGAGACGAAACTTTAAATGAGCAATAAAAAATGTTGTCCCAGGCCCTGGCTGGCATAGCTCAGTGGATTGAGTGCGGGCCTTCGAACCACACAATTTCGGTTCGATTCCCAGTCAGGGCACGTGCCTGGGTTGCAGGCCAGTTTCTGGCAGGGCACTCACAAGAGGCAACCACACATTGATGTTTCTCTCCTTCTCTTCCTCTCTAAAGATAAATAAATAAAATCTTTTAAAAAATGTTGTTACATGCAGAAAAGAGAAATCTTTCTTCTTTCTTCTTGTATTTGTGTAAACCCCAATAAACCTCTTGAGCCTTATTATATTATATACCTTATTTTATAAGAAAGATACATTTTTGTTATATCTTGCTGATATAAGAAATGCATGAATAATCTTTGCATAATTATTATCAAAGGTTTTTTTTTTTAAGGGACAAACAACCTCCAAAACAACAAAAAAATCAGAGAGGTTGGTTTCAACCACCACATCTGCGACATCTGTGTGAATTACGGCAAAGCTTCTTAGTCCCTTATTGCTGTCTTTAGCTTTACAAAATTAGGCCAACATTAAAGGAGAGAACGCTAGGAAAAAATGTCGGACATTGACTTGGAAATTCAGAGGGCTGATTTCAAGAAATTTCAAGGATAAAAGTGAAAATTGTTCTAAGATTCCAGGATTGTAACTTAAAAGCACATCTCAAAGAGCTAGATGGTGTCCAAAAATTAAAAGCACAGCACACAGAGGAAAGCTATCCTCAGTTGGAAAACAAGTGGGAAAATAAATCCAATAATCAGATTTACACCAGACTTTCGGAGATAAGTCAAGGAACACGACTCTCTTATTTCCCTCTTCATCCTCAGTGCCTAGAGCAGTGCCTGGCCGATAGGAAACTCTCTCCAAATATCTGTGGAAGGAATCGTTGAATGTGCAAAGGAAGGGCCCATACTTAGCTAACATACAAGGGTCCTAGACCTGGAAGAATGATCTTGAAGACTAAAGTCATTAAGAATAGAGGTTACAAAAATACAAAACATATTTCAAAAGTTACATTTTCTTAGCAAAAGTACGAATGAAGTTATCAATTTCAGGTTAATGGTGTAATAACAGATTTTGTTGCCAAGTTCTGTGTCAAGAGGGATTTTCAGATTGGAAAGGAATAGAAAAGCATCAGGGAAGAGTAATTGAAAGCAAACTAAATGAGGTGTTTGGAATGAATACCTTGAAAATGCTTCAATCGAGGTCTCCAAAAATTAGATCTCAAAACTCTTAGAGAGTTTGTAAATGAGATTTCTAAGCCGTCATTATCTGTCTTGGCAGTTAATAGTGGAGACACAGTTGGTGACAAAAAAATAAATAAAGTCCTACCTTTCAAAATGAAACAGAAGTATATCTTAAACTAAATAAGGCACATTGAGTATTACTCCCTAGTTAGATTATATGTGATTATTTAAAAGATTTCTGAGAACCCTTAGGGAAGACAGTAATGACTAGGAATCAGCATAGGTTCCCTGAGAACAACTGCACTCAACTATGATTATTCTCTCTCTTTGTGTGTCTCTCATAGAATTAGGATTACAAGGCAAGTAATGATATATAAATTAATAATAGACATTGGGATTTTAACTAGGGTTATGAAAAATCCTCTCATGGTGTTCTCATTAACAAGATTAAGATATGTTCTGGGTGTGAGTAGAGTTAGTTGGATCTTAACTGCATCACTGACTCCCCAAAGGTAGCTCTCTATGGGCTGCGGCAAGCTCTGCCTTTGATTCTGTTCTACTTCTGTTTCATAAGTGGCTTGGTTGCCAACATTGATGGAAGCTTGTCATAGGCACATAGGAGAAGTTGGGTGGGAAAACGACATCCTGGAAAATACAATCAGGATCCCGAAAGATCTTGACAGGGTGTAACTGGATAATCTAGAACAAGATAGAAGTAGTATTTCGCAGCAACAGCCATGAAAAGGCTCAAAGATTTTTTCCTTACTATCATCTAATAATGAGTTTGCAGTGTAACATGATTTCTAATTTCTGACAATCAAATGCAATCATGGGTCACTTCACAAGAAGTATAAGGTCTAGACCTTTAGGTGGACATGCCAAGGGAACACAGGCTGTACCTTTTCCTTCTCCGCAGTGCAGCGTCTGTCCATAGCAGGCCTTCCACGAGTGCCGCAGTTTTAAATAACTTTGCTTACAGTGTCTGAACTATGTTCAGCCTGTTTTCTAAGTGTTTAATTCTATGATCACACTTCATCCTCATACCAACTCTACAAAGTACATATACTTATTGTCCTTACTTGACCAGTGGGGAAACTGAGGCATAGAGAATTGAAGAAACTTGTTCAAAGTCATGTGGTTGAAAATGTTAGGAGCAGAAATAAAAAAAAAATAGTTGATTTCAGCATTCATCCCTTTAACCATTGTGCTACACTATTTCCCGGGAGGAAATGGAAAGTTTTATCTCTGCTCTATTCTACAATATTCAAAATATATCTGAAGTATTTATTACCTGTTGTGTTTTGTTTTAGGAGGAACGTTTAAACAGTTTTGGGTCCAAAGGCAGGAGACCAGGATGGTGGGCAAACTCAGAGCCATGTTATGTGTGGAGTAGCTCAGGAAACTGAACACTAGAGAAGATTCCTTTAAATTTTTGTTTTATCCTTATTTAAAGAGCTATCATGTGGGAAAGGAATTAAATTTATTTCTTGTGACTTCAGGGACAAATTCAGGTTCAAAGGATTTTAGTTGCACCTATAAGAATGAACATTTCATCCCAATGGAGGAAAGTACTCTCTAATAATATTAACTTAAAATAGAATGACTCGTCCCTGGGGTTAGTATATTCTCTGTTAGTGAAAAATTTCAAAGAAAGGCTGGGCAAAAACTAGTTGAGAAAATTTTGAAGAGAATGCTGCACTAGATATAAAATAGATTTTTCAATAGGTAGTCACTTTTGAAGTTCATCTAATCCGAAACTTCAATAATTATACCAAAACCTCATGTACGATTTGCCCTCAAGGCAGCAGAAAGTGGTGGTAAAACATAAGCTTTGGCACTAGTTGCTCAAGTTTGAATACAGGCTCTACTCCTTGCCAGAGAGATGTGTGCCTCTAATCTCAGATTGGTCATTAACTAGCTACACGAATATGAACAACTAATTTAACATCTATATGCTTTAGTGTACCCATCTACAATATAAGGATAACAATATTACCAGCTACTGTATTTTATATGGTGATTTTCTTAGGTATGTTGTTTAAATACATTAAACATATCAAGCTCTTAGAACAGCATATCGTACAGACTAAGCACAGTAGATCACTACTGGTTGGTTATTTTATTTCTATTTGAACTTGAGACTGTCTCAACTTCTCTTTCCCATCACTCTTCAGTTTTTAAAATGATATTAATGGTAGCATTTACCTCATGAAGTATTCTTATAATGACTAAATTTATTATGACTAAAACCTTTAGAACAGTGTTTGGAACACAGCAAGTGATAAATAAATTAGTCATAGTAGTTGTTCTATTTTTATTATTATGCAAACATACTTCTTAAACTCTTTATGTTTTAATTTCATCATTACAAAATAGAGATAAATAATATATTAACTTTAACCCAAAGTAAGCCAAATTCTAACCCTGCAACAATGCATGTCTTTTGCATATGCAAGGATTATATGAGCACACACAAAATTCAGGACAATGTGTGTGTTGAGAACTTATTAGTAATGTTATCAAAAATAACTCTGGAAATGATGGCCAGAAAATTTTTGAAGCAGACAAATTTGTATTATTAAATCAGACAGTAACATTACTCAGGAAGGTTAAAGGTTGGAATGTAGATAAATCACAGAATTTAAATGGCAAACATTCAAAAAACTCGTGAAGGGATTTTGGAATGAATTTGTCCAACATTGTCTGCATTGTGTAACTGTCTCCCGCAATTGTCTTGCCCCATTTTCTCATGTGTAATCTGTCTCCATAAATGTCAACTGAGAAGCATGTAAGCAGACAATGAACTCTATTGATAAAGAGACAAAGGATCTGGAGAAGTATAATTATAGGTGCAAGTATCACTTCTATACTTGGGAAACTGAGAGGATGAAAGATTGGAATTTGGTAGATCAGTACACCAAATCTACTGAGTGAAAAATAAATAAAGCCATACATTGTTAATTTGCTTAACTGTTTTGGGGGAAGTATAAATATTCCTGTGGATAAGAAATAACCAGCAACTAGATTTCACCTAGTTTTTTTAAAAGCATCACACAAACCTCTTTAGAGGGGATGGGGAGGGATTAAAGGAAAGAAAAAGAAAGAAAAAATGAAATATTAATTTAGCTCGGAAAAATGTTTCACAAAGGAAAAAGAGTTACATAGAAAGAAAACAGTGTCAACATAAGACAATCTTCCTTTGTGTGTTCAAATACAGTAAAGTAATAGTAATGCTATGAGAACAGATTTCGTCTTTTTAATAAATGATCTGAGCTCAAAAAAGACTGCACAGAGTGAGCCCCAAAGGCACAAATAGCCACTTAGCTCTTCCCGGCAACGATACCACAATTTGGACTCTTTAAGATGTGGGAGGACGGCTGTGGCAGAAAGAAAATATCAGTGAGTCCTCTCCCTGACAAACATACATAAAAATGGACAAATTGTCAAAAAAACAACAATCAAACAGACAAAAACATTTCAAGTCTGTGGAAATCAACCAAAGGCAAATAACAAACTAATATTTATTCATGAAAATTTGGTAGAACTTTGGTAAGAGCGGTGGAAATCTGAGGCACTCTGGCCCATGGGATGTTCCCATATCGCTCCAGCTTGGCTACATCAAGGAAGAATTGCACCAGGCAGAGGTAATTAGGCGGGGACGATTTTATTCAGGACTATTGCAGTAGTGGAGAGAGACTGAATTCACCCCCACTGAAACAGAAGGCAGGAGGGATTTAAGCACCGGTTAGTGAGCCAGTGGAAACGTATTAGAGAACATTAGAAAGGGAAAGGTGGTGTCATATCCGTACATTAAAAATTACAAAGCATTGCTGAGATTAAGGGACATTTGAATAAAATAGGAGATGTTCATGTTCACAGATTGGAAGGCAATATTAAGATGTCATTTCTTCACAAATTGGTGCTTAGATTGAATACAATTCTTATCAAAATTCACACAAGATTTTTTTGTAGAATCTGACAAGCTGATTATAAAACTTTTATGGAACTACAAAGGACCAAAAATAGCCAAAATGATTTTTAAAAAGAACAATGTTAGAGGACTTACATCTAGTTTCAAAAATTAACCTAAAACTCCAGTAATCACAATAATATGGTCCTATCATATACATAGACATACAGAGCAATGGAACCCAGTAGAATGTCCAAAAACAAAAAAACCCATTACATATGTGGTCAATTGATTTTTGAAAAGATGACAAGGCAATTGAATCGGGAATGGATAGTCTCTTCAACAAATGGTGCCAAGACAATCGGTCCCAGCTGAGACAGAAAATAGTACTGGAACAATGCCCAAAATAAAACAAGACAAAACATGAAATTAGACTCTTACCTCACACTACACATAAAAAAAATTAAGTAAAAATATTACTGCAGAGAGTATTTCTAATTTTAGGTGGGGAAAATATTTCTTAGCTATAACACCCAAAGTATTACATAAAAGAAAACATTGGTACATGGGAATATATTAAAAAATTTTATAAATTATCCTTCAAATAACATTAAAGAATAAAAAATGAAGGATTTGTATCCAGGATATAAAAAGAACCCTTACAACTTAATAATAAAAAATCAACCCAATGAAAAGTGGGCAAAAATTTAAGCAGACACTTCACCAAGAAAGAGATAGATATAAATAGAAAATGGAACTCTCATTGTTGGTGGGAATATAAAAAGGTATATCCACTTTGGAAAAGTTTGGCAGTTTCTTAAAATTTGCTCATGTGCTTGGGAGAAAACCCAGTCATTATACTTCTACTTATCTCCTTAATAGAAGTGAAAGCAGTTCCCTCCAAAGGCTTGTAAATGGATGTTTATAGTAATATCGTTCTTGATAGCATAAACATAGCAATACACATGTATATCAACTATGAAGTTGGTAAGTAAAATGTGGTATATGTATGAAACACTATTCAGGAATTTCAAAGGAACTAACTACTGACCGATGCAACAATGTGAATGAACCCCAAAACATTAGGCTGTGAGGAAGCCAGACGCAAAAGACTATGCATTTCATGATTCCATTTACGTGAAATTTCTAGAAAAAGACAGAAGGCATATTGAGTGTTTGTAATGGGAAAGAGAATTGACTGCAAATAATCATAAGAACTCTGGATTCTGGTCATGGTTATACAAATCTATAAATTTACTAAATATCATTTGACCACAGAATTATAATAGATGAATTGTATAGTGTGTAGGTAAAGTCAAGTTGTTAAGAAAATTTTTCAATATGTAAATGTATAAGAATAAAGCAGATTAACTCCATGTGGGCATCATGAAGGAATTTGATTTAGGTTAAAAAAAAATGAGCTTGAGGTTTCAGCCAGAATGAAGGAAGGAGGTAGATACTATAGAATGTACACATCATTAGAGGCTTTTTCCTAATGAGCCCAAATTATGAAATAGAATAACATAGAAAATAAAATTTTGTAATAATATAAGTAATGCTAAGTAGGCTGTAATGAAGTAACCCCCTTTGTATTACATGTAAATATCCTTCCCATGTATATTAAATTTATTCTGCATGATTGTCTTTTTGAGACCTAAGGAGAAAGCTATGCCACAGTGGGAAAGGGTTAAACCTCTCCTTTGAAGAAAGGGACGTTTGCAGTGTCAATTCTTGCAATATAGATGGACCCTAAAGTGAAACAAAAATTGGGGGGGTAAGTTTTAGGACAGAGAAAAAAACCCTAGGTTCTTTCTGAGCCTTCTTTTGGAGTCTTCGAGTAGTGATGGAAACTTGCAGGAGTGAAGTAGAGACTATAGAGGTCACAGACACAGTGCAGTTATGTTAAAAACTAAAATGCCTTCAATCTGAGACCATGAAACCTGGAAAGGAATTTAGAAACAAAAACCATGGCATAGTTTGTTTAATCTCATTCTCAGGATACAAGTTTAAAATGAGAAAAAGAAGATTTGTGAAATCTTCTTTTCATAAATGTGTGGCAGAAGAAATTGCGGAACTGAAATTGCCCGGGTTGGGGTAGGACTGTGAGACCTTTACTCATCACGTGTGCACCATTTGCCCTCCAGTCTCTGACCAACATGTTGCACGGCACACGCTAGGTAATCACCCAGTACTGGGTGGGTGAATGAATGTCTCATGACATTCATATCTCTCTTGAACACCCCATTTCTTACCTAATACCCCTCCCATCCCCTATGATATTTGGCATGTATGTGCTTATTTTTATATAGGTATAGTACATTTTTTTTTATATTCTCATGTCTGTCACTGTGTCTTTAGTTATTTATTGTTTTTATGTGCTTGGTAAGGATTTATGTTTTTCTTGTAACTGCTTTGCATTGTAAGTGTCCCAAAGTATATGAAAATTTGTCATATTATATAAATCAATGACAAAATGGAAAGTACTAAAACTACACAACTAATATTAACATTTTGAGGATAATGGATGGACTTAGATTGGATTCTTTTTAAAATTCCATGTCCACTTAATGAGGTATAAGAGAAATAAGTGTAAGTGAGACAGGGAATGTTAATGTAATGGTAACCATTGGTTATAGATATACTTTGTGCTATAATTGGGATATTAAGTTTACTGAGTAAGTCAGTGTATTTTGCTCAGCTTTATGGGGTTTTTTTGTCTGAGAAACACAGCACAAAGTAAACTGTAGCATTAAAAGCCAGCCTCATTGCAATTTATTTTTATAGCATAGTGCAAAACAACCCAAGCTGAAAGTACATTCAGGCACTGAGATTTAAATCCCTAATGGTAAGAAATAAGTTCCACGAACAGATGTGATCATGGATTCTGAGTGTATTTGCTTGTGGCAAAAATAAAAATACCAACTCAATAAGTTTTAATTTATAGGCATCTACTCCAGAAAGCCTTGGGCACTTTGAACAAAACTTACTAAAAATAAAATTTTGTAAAATAAAAGCTAATATTCCCCATTCTCCATTCACACTAGGGAATATAAATTGTCCAGCTGGGGAGGGGGGAGATTTTGCCAAGTTTCTTCTAGGTGCTTTCTTGGAATCGTAGCTGAGTTGTGCTCTAGAGGAGACTCTATGACTAACCACGTGCCTGGACACATGAGAATGTGCAAGGGGAGCCAATGATGGTCGTCCATCTCCAGAAGGTTTTTCAATAACAATAGCCATACCTAACCTGGGGTCCTGCAGAAATGCAGAAACTTTTTCTTCTCACTCATGGGAAATATTTTTTGTCCTGTTTCTCTAGCAGAAACCTTCTTTTTGTATTTAAATCTGCATTTTTATATTCATATCTATATCTACATCACCTATCATCTACATCTACATATATATCCATGTATCTATCTCCACTATGCTAGTACCCAACATGTATCCAAACAGCAACAAATTCTATGATTCTACCATTGGGCATGTATTATACTAAAAATCCTTATCCATGCAGTGTATAAATGATGGGACAAAGGGAGAGGTATGTGGCTCTGACCTTGGAAAGAAAGTCTTTTCATTGAAAGGCCTTTCATTGCTTACCTCACATTGTTTTCTTTCAAGGTCTCACTTGTAAATTCCAGTATGTCAGCAGCTGTCCCCACAAACATAAGGAGAAGTTCTGAGAGTTGGTTCCGAGTGATTGTGCCCCCGATAGGTAGAAGCCATCTCCCAATTATGAGCATTAACAAGAGTGTCTGATGGAGCGCCAAAGTCCAGTCTTTCTCCGGGACTTCAGACAAGTTCTGTATAAAAACTCGGGCCTATTTGATAGAGACGTCAGACAACATGGAGGATGAGTTACCAACTTGGAGAGAGAGACCTTCTTCACCATGGCTTTCAATCAAAAGTTAGCTTTTGTGGAAGGTTCTTTTCAGAGGATGATTCCTCACTTACTAAAGAAAGTCAAACTCTTTTCAACTGAATGATGTGAAAAAATAAAAAAACTAACGTGGTCCTTAAAATGAACGACCCTTTAACTAGAAGTAAGTTAAACCTTATACTTGCTAGTGGGAATTCTTCTGTATGATATTTTAAAAGCTAATGTTCAGGCATTTTAAAGATCATTATGTTATTCTATTATTCTCTGGAACAGACTATAGCACATAAAAATTCTTAAATCCCATGTTGTAAATTTTTTTAAATTCCTATAGATTTTTTCAGTGATTTTAAGTCTGAATTTATAAATCTGGGACTACCTTAGCATGGTACAAATCTTCTCTCTTATTTTTCATTGCTTTAAAACACCACTATATCAAATGAAAAATATATCATAATGTTTATTCATTACCTAAATGTAAATAAAGAAAAATAACTATGAAGCTATTTTTATTCTGAATATTTAACATATTATTCAAACATCCATAAACTAGCAACCACATTTTATTCTGCCCTTTTTCTTGGACTCTAAAAAAACTTACGTCCCATTCATATGTCCTGGATAAAACCTGTTGCCCATTTAACTGCTGAGTAAGTTTTGAAGTATATCATTGACCGTATAGGTTATGATCTAGAGCATAAGATTCTCAAGTGGATTTCATAGTGATTCCAAATGATTTATGCAAATAATTTAACTTTGTTTGTGCAAATCTATTCATGCCTTTCGATTGCTTGCTGATGTCAAGTGCAAAGGTAGGGGGGAGGATAAAAGCAAGTCAGGATGCCAACCTGATTGAAACCATGATAAAGATCCATAACCCTTCATTACACACTTTTTTATATCTCTTCTATGAGACTTCACATGCATCTTATTTAATTCTTATGGGGAGCATACTAACAAGGGGTACATTAATATTTTCAATTATCAGTGAAAAAATGGCAATACAGAGACATTAAGTGGTTTGTTCAAAGTGGTATTGGTAAGCTGTGATTGAAACTTAAACTAGAACTCAATGCTAGTTCTAATATACCTCATGAATCACTAGCCTATCTTATTGTTGACAATGTGGTCATTGGCGAGGGCCTTAGCCTTGAGTATTTCCCATGTATTATTTTCTAATAGGCTGTTGTCAGTTTGCCAAATATCAGGCATGTGAAGAAGAAAAAAAAGTGATTCGATTTTGCCTGGGAACCTTTCTTATTTTATTAATATAAATGCCTAAAAATATATATATGGCAGACTCCAATCTTCACAAACATATGTATTTCTCTTTATACATACATTGAAATATTACAGGTTCTTTAATGCTGCAAATTAAATATATCTATGTCTGTTACACATGTTAACTATGCTTAGTAAATATAAAGATGCAGTTATTTTGCAAATTCCTGAGTCAGACAAACAACTGGCAAATTTCCTTAGCCAAGAATGAGCTGAAAGGTGTAGAGCACATTTTCCTTTTGAAGTGACAGGATTCTCTAGACCTTTGACATACCGTGGGGAAAGCACTCACCGTCTCAAAGAGACCGTCCCCTCCACCGGTGTGTTCTCTTGACATCAGCGTCCGATTGAAGTCTTCTTTGCTGCTGGTATTCTGTGACATTCCTTCAGATTGGCTACCATAAGACTAAGAATTGTTTAAAAAGTCAATTTGTCAAAAAATACCACAATAGGTAGAATTTAAAGTGGCTTCAATTATCTAAGAAATTATGAGCAGATATGTGGAATTTAAACAGTATGCATAGACATCTCCAAAACTCAGACTATATGCTTACGATAGAAAACCAATTTTCAATTAATTTGTAAAGACAGTCTATTATACATGTCTTATTTTTCCACAAGCCTCTGAGGACATAGACTCTCTGAGGTCATTGTAGAGAACTATTGAATTTATATAATTGGGATTCCATTTTGAACATTGGGAAAATTGCAAAACAAGCCAACAGCCAATGACAACATGGAAACATGTATGATCCAGGTCAAAGTGCTCACTCTGAAAGTTTGTTTCTTGTCCAGAAGCCGCTTTTTCAAAAATACAATTTTTCTTAAGTAGATGATCCAATTATTTTCAATCTCGCCTGCTAAGCACTATAACAACCAAAAAAATAACACATTCGCCCACAAAAATATATATTTAGTGCCAGTTTAGAAGTGAATTTAGGTTTATATAAAATTTGATAATAGACCTAAAATAAATGACACTTTTCCCTTGTTACTCCTTCACTTCTCAGGTAACCATCTGCAAGTGAACTGTGCAGAATTCTTATCCAGCCAGGTGCTGGGAGTCTGAGGCAGAGACAGAGAAAATAAATAAGAGAGGAAAGGGGTGGCACTTGAAGATGTTGCTGTACCAATGATAATTTCACAAACAAGTAAAAAAATTATAAGATTGAAGATTTCTATATACATCTGCAGGGTTAACATGCTTTTGAATATGGCATACACACCACCACTGCCCATCCATGGTCAAACGTGTGGATTTTGAGAGAAACTATGTTCTTGAAAATGCTAACGCTGTAAGAAATGCATTTTTCTTAATTATTCTGGATGCTTTGCCAATCATTCTATGAGCTATTTTAAAAAGTAGAAAAGCAAGTCTGTCAAGAAGCTATTTTTTTCTATCCTCCATCAAAACTGTTAAGTATTAGGGGTGAAATGACAAGAATAATTAAGAAAACTGGCGGTGTGCCATATCTCCAAGAGGAAAAAACAGCTGTTCACACACTTTTTTTTGTACAGCCAAGGCTCTAAGGAAAGATAATAAAAATAAAAAAATAAAATATTGAACCAAGTAGCAAATTCTCCTTGCAGAGTAACTCTGAGACTCTCGCTAAGAACCCAGGGGTCAATGGGAAACAAACTTGGGCCATTTTGCTTGTAGGCATTGAAGCAGATTGTATATTAAAAGTGTGACATTTCATATCCTTTTGTATGTTTTTATATTCTTATCACTAAAAATCCAAAAACAGTTTCTTGTTTTGAAGAAAAATAACCTGCTCTGCAGTAACTTGATAGGAAACAGCTCTGTCATCCACATTGTGATGTTTGCTAAAATCCACGTCCCCCTTCACTCTTGTAATTCCATTTATAATGCATTCATTGATGAGACTTTCCTGGAAGCTGCCTTAGGATAGCAGAGAGCAACTGGTTTGACTCTTTAACCTAATCTGACTTGACTGTTTTTATGGTAATACTGTTCACATTTAGTCTCCTGTAGGTGAGTTTATGTACATAACCTAGGTGCCAACAAGCCACTTTTCTTATGGGCTATGTCTTTAAAATTCTTTTGAGCTTCAAAACTATTCCTTTGGGCCAAACGAGACTGACATCATCAAGGCCAACAAGTTTCCATTGCTCTAACTGTACAACTTCATGAATAAACCTAAGAGTTAAGGTCATAATTGTTGTCCTACCTTGCCAGATTCAGGAATGAAGGTACATAATTGATCATCTAGGAGAAGTGTCTGCATGGAATAGGTTATTCCAGACAGTTGTGGAATAACCACAAGTCAAAAATTAAACAACTATTAAAACAGCCTTTTAGGCTGTTTTAAAAATTAAACAGAAGACAACTTATTAAACAGTTGTTTTCCTAATAACAAGTCATAGGTCAGAACATTTAGGATTTAGAGTATATGGAAAAGTGAACAGAAATTAAATCACTCTTTCCCATCAGGAAAAATTTAGATGATTTTGACACCCACTCCTCTAGGTAGTGTGGTTAACAGAGTAGGGGCCAGGATGTAGGTTCTAAGTCCCAGGACATAGTTGATTAGCTGTGTGGCCTTGAGAAAATTGCTTAATCTTTTTTGAGTCTTGGAGTCCTCTTCTATAAAACAGAGACGTATATACCATGTCTAACTCATGTAGTTGCTGGGTTTACAAATGAGGAAATATCTGAAAATACTTTGAAATAAAGAGAAAAAGTGATTATTATTACAACCAAAATTTCCTATGTGAATGGACAGAGAACATTTCTGAATTCTCATTTCTTTAAATGTACCTTTTTGTCTCTTTTGCTCTCACCTTTGTTCTATTTCCCACTCTGCCCACCCTGCCCAATTCAATCTTTGGGCACTTATGTTAATTCTTTATGTCAAAACAAGTCAAATCCATTACCACTAAAGGTTCGATTTCATTTGTAGTAAGAAAATTAGAGAGGCACTGCCTGTGGCTCAAATACCTTTTTTTTTTTTAGTTAAAAAAAAGAGCTTTTGGTTGCAGGCTATTTGTTGTAACAGGATTTGACCTGTGTATCAATTAACTGTGCCACACGTTTATATTCTAAAAGCATTTGGGGAAATGAATTGTTATTGTGGATGATAGCCATGTCATAGAATTGGATGTGAAGGGAAAAAATGATTCTAATCACCAGAGCCTATTTCCATACCCCTTAAAGTAGAAAGCAAGAAGGAAATTGAAACAGTACCCTAACTCCCTGTGGTACAATTTTTAAAAGTCATGATATCTTGAATTAACCAATCTACTGATACAAAAATACTTTTGCTGCAGAGATGGAGATATCCTATCACTTTAATATTTTTTTTAAATGGGAGATTTAAGACAGGTAAATGTTTTCTTCAAGCCTGTATTATTGGTACATGCTTGTGGAATTGTTCAAAAATAGTTCACAGAGTTAAATTCCCCTCTGTGGTGTAAAAAATATGGGGCACGTATTTTCTGGATAGGTTTGAATATCTGAACCATATCTAGAAGGCTTCACTTTGCTATAAAATGACCAACTATAGCAAAGAAATCTGTAGAGGGGAAAATTCTCACAGATCTTGCCTAACCTATTTTATCAGTGAAGATAGTAGAATAATATCATATCATAACTCTGGTTTATCTGTAAAGCATAGTCTTGTAACCCGGCCCCTGAAGATGTGAAGTCCAAGCTGGTGCCTGATGGACTTTACTAACGGACCTCCCTGGCATTGTACAGGTACACGGAAAATGAGACAGGGCTGAATGCAGCCTACAGCCCGCTACCTAGGTTTGCCCAAGTAAAAAGCAACTCACTTAAAAATCAGAGCCTCTCTCTCCATATATATATACATATACATATATATATATATATATATATATATATATATATATATATATATGAGCCTCTCTCAGAGCCTCTCTCTCTATATATATATAGATGGGGGTCTCTTATTAAAAGCCATCATTTATTTTCTAGCCAACTGTGGTTCTAATACATATAGCCCATATTTTCTGATGGTAGTTTCATGACTCTTCTTCACCCTGTGTCGGGGCTCCAAAGTAAAATCCCTGTTTCATTAAAACAGTTCATGAGGCCCTCAGAAGTGAATTTTGTATAATTTGCAAAGCCTGTATTTTAAGACTACTTGAACAACAATTAAAGTAAATAAATTTAAAAAATAAATTTTGCTTAAACAAACTTTTTTAACTATTAAAAAAAAGATAGACTATCTCAAATATCCTCTCCAAGTTTGATTGCATTTATATAGCAGAGTACAAATGATGGAGCTTTCTTTTTGTTGTCATTGTTCTTAAAAATGTCACTTCATAGAATGTTAGATAATCAAGCCCTGGCCGTTCTTAGCCTAATATAGAGTATCACTAATGCGGCAAAGGTTAAAAGAATTTTTACAGCCCCATGTAAACTCTCACATGTTGAGGGGTGGGCAAGTTTTAGGAACAAAGTCTGTAACACAAATTGTTAATTAATTAATTGTATATAATCTAAAGTTTTAAATGAATGAAACATTTTAATTGGTTTTGACAGATCATGAATTCACTTCCTTTCACTGATAAACTCTTATTTATTCCGTTCTTGATAACTCCTGTTTGTTAGAAAAAGTGCATTTCTGACACAAATTGGATTAGAATATGAAAGGAGTTTACTACTGAATATTCTACTTTTCTAATTTCCAAAAGGATATACCTGGGTCCCATGGTGCACTTCAAGAATCCACAATGATGGAACGATGTTAATTAGATATACAAATATGGCTGGTGAAAACCTGTGAAAGAAGGAGGGGAAAGATAGTTCAGTTTTTACAAAAAAAAAAAAAAAACCTTTAAAAAGAAAGGAAAAATAAATGCACATACCCTGACCACAGTGAGTCAAACCTTTTTCTCTCAAGTGTTTATTTCAATGGGGAAAAGGCAGTATGTGATTTCTGCCATATGGATTATAGAGAAACAAAGTAACTGTAAAAGGCGCTAGCAGCTGTCATTCTCACTGAATTTCTAATCTAATTAATAGAGGTTAATTTTAATATGGTTTAATGGGACACTGCCAATTAATTTCAGGCATAAAACTGGATATTTTGTATTAATACATTTTGTAAAAAGCAAATACAGCAAGAGTAAATCTTCTTGGATTTTTCAACATCACGATATCGGGAAGAGTGATTATGTTTTTCAATATTCACCTGGAATTCTCAGAGCTCAAATAATAACATCCCACTAAAACAAAAAAAATCAGGTAGTAATGAATAGGCTTTAATCAACTAGCTTTATTCGTATTTGCTAAACTTACTAAAAATAAAAATACATACAAACAACAACAGAGGAAAGGTTTTGTATTTTCTGGAAAGACTATATTCATTATTTTCTGGCTGAAAATTCAGAGGGCTATCCAAAGACAAGTAGGCTTGTAGTCAGATGCTCAGGTTCAAATGCCAGTTTTGCCACTGACCTCGCAGTTTGCATCCTAGACCACAAAATGAGGACATTCATGGTATTAGCTTAGGCTGCCATACACGATGCCATAGACTGGTTGGCTTGACAAGAGATTGACTTTCTCCCAGTTTGGGAGTCCAAGATCAGGGTCCTAGTATGGTTGAGATTTGGTGAAGGCTTTCTTCCTACTTTGTAGGTAGCCACAAAATTGCATTTTATTTTAGTTTGGACTCTAATAGACCACCTCAAAGTTGAAATTATAAGTAAATGTAATTTTGTTAAAACACTTGTAATACCTACATGTGATGGTTTAAAATGACCTGAAAAAATAGAAATGTTAATTGCTCACCAAGTTGAATTATTTGAGATTTAATGTTACTGAAACCATACTATTATAATCCAGAAGGGGAAAGTGAACAAATCTAAATGGAAGAGAACATTTACAATAGACTTCTTAAAGGCTTTCAACCCTTTCACTAATATCTCTTTTCAACTTCTGGGAAGAGGAATAGAGAAGGGATAAAAGAAAGAGAGTTTTTTAAAAATCAATATTTAATATAGATGCTACTACACTTTTGATTTCTGGCAAAAATCAATTTTGAAACAAAATGTTATGAGTCACATTATTAAAATTTGACTTGGAAGATGGTGGGTTGCAGAGAGGTATCAACGGCCCCCAATTTAACATGTTCTTGAAGAGAAAAGACACAATTAATTTTTGACCTTACATATCAAAGGAAACATCAGGAAAGAATATTTCCTTTGAGAGACTGGGAAAGGAATTCTAGTTGGAAGGACAGTCAGAATATGTCAATGTTTGTCTGGCTACCTCACAGGCGGGCTGGACGGCACTTCCGCTGACTCTCTTGGGACCGATTTTGGGATTATCCACCCTAACAACACCGTCACAATAATAACCAAGAGAAACCATAGACTGAAAATATAATAGCTCTTGAAAGAGGTTAAAAATAAAACAAGCATTCCTTATAACATTTTTTGTGCATGAGATTACTTTCTATAATTGGAAAAAATGCAATCCTGTTTCAACTTATTTCCTCTAACTAGGAATCTAGTTATGTTGATAATTAAAAAAAAAAAAGAAAGAAAAGAAAAGGTCAAGATCTAAGGTTTTCTGTGTTGCCTACTACAGGAAATCTAAATTCTACAAACTGATATTCCAAGTTCCCACTATCTAGTCTTGTCTCCAGTTCTTGCTCATCCTTTATCATATCCTACCAAGCTAAGCTACTTGAAATCAGCTGTATAGTCCCCACTTGCTGTGTATTTAGAACAAAAGAAAACAAAATGTTTTGGAAAGTTGCCCTTACATCAGTCCCTCTTCATTCGAGTTATCTGACATAAATAAAAGGGAGTAGAAAGAAGGACTCACAATGAGGGCCCAAGAATTAATCACATTCAACTCCTGAGAGTCTGACTCCATAACCTTTCTCGGGGCTATTTACCACCCTCTGAATCTAACACCTTAGAGGAGTTCCTGGAACTCCTTTAAGCCTTTCAAAAGGCTTCCAGGTGGAGTTACTAATGAAATACATAGTACCACACAGTGATAAAGAGCAAATTAGTTACAGGAGTTTCCTTCTCTTTTTCCTCTCTCTCTCATTCTCTAGTAGCAGGCTATAGAAATGGTACAACTCAAATTCTCAAAAAAACTTACAGAGAAAATGAAAGTATTATTTAGAGAAGTATTAACATATTTTATCTTGGCTATGAAGAATAAATTTTAGCCATATATGTTTTGTTTGACCATGGGTTCCCACTGAGAACGAAGTGCCCGATGCACCTTCAGCTTGGTTAGTCTGAGAAGAGAGGTTCTGAAATGGCTTTATAGCAAATGTCCCTTCAAATTATAATTACTTCCTTTGGAATGCCCTTTCTTTACATCTCCACCCAATCAACATCAAACTGGTATTCCAAAGGCATACTGGGAATTAATCTTAACTTGTATTTCTCCTGTGACCCAACACATTCTCCACTGTTTTGTAGTTATGGGTATATGAGACTTAGTTTTCCTAAGTTCTGTGAAGGCAGATCCTGAATCTTATATCTTTGTGTCCCCCACCCTCTTCCCTTTCCTTCACCTTTTCCTCTCCTCAGTGGTACCAGGTATCTTACTAAATCTTTAATTAATTCTTATTAAGTAAATGGTTATTCGCTCTAATTCCTGAATTTATGAATCAGGGAGGACTGAACAAATAAAGTGGATGGAGGCCACTGGCATTTACAGGGACACTGTATTTGTATTTCAGGGGGTCCAGTATCAAGTGTGCTCCCTGGGTGGTGTCCCTTGAGGAATTATTATACTGCAGCAGAAATTTCACAAACTTCAGCAGCCCAAATTTGAACCTTGCTTCTTCCATTCATTCATCTTTGGAAAATCACTAACTTCCCTGAAACTCTACATACCCTTGTCTATAAAATAGGGATAATAATACCCATCTCATAGGGTAATGGTGAGGATTAAATGAGACAGTGTGGATTATGTACATGAGGCTTAGCTCTGCAAATATACTCATGGCTGAAAGAGGCCCCGGGGGATACATGCTTAGAAGACCATCTACAAATAGCTTATAATCAATCCTGTTTTTAAACTATGATTCTTAAAGCTAAACCTATTTAAGACTCCTTGAATCAAGGAAAGTTGTTTGTACTTCTGAGGACATCATTATGCCTTAACTTAATATTCACTGCAAAGCAATTACTGTCAGTCATATAGCCGTGGTTCACACAGGCCATCTGCCCCTCACAACCTACAAAGTGCTGCACAATCAAGGCTCTGCCTACCTCTTGGGTTCTGTTGCTTGCCAATCTTCCTCATTGTGCTCCTCTAACAGTGCCTTTCTTTCAGTTCTGGAAATAAAGCTAAGTGCCTTCCTAACTCAGGATCTCACTTATATATTCCTCTCCCTTGAAATACCTCTCTCTCACCTTTCAGCTGATTGTTTCCTTCTCATAGTTCATGTTAGCTATATGGGACTCTACAGAAAAACTTTCCTTGCTCCTACAATCTAAATTAGATCTCCTCATTATGCTTGTCCCTTGGTGCTCTTTACTTTAAACCTGTATTTTTCAAAATTTATGATCATATATGTACATGTGCATATGTATATGTACACGTGCCTATGCACTTCTGTCTCCCAGCAATTCTAAGTAATACAAGCACAGGAGCTGCGTCTGTCTGCTTGTCATCATACTCTCATGTCCACACACCATAGCACATGGTGAGCTCCCTGCAAATTTGCAGTGATTTGATGAGGTCGTGGTTGATTTATAGTTCCTATTTTCCATCCCTACTTTCTTACCACTTTGCTGCTGGTTTGACTGGCAAATCTCTTCTCGAAATATCACCATGAATTGATTTTATCAGAAGGTTTACTGAAAGAAACTAATTATTTTGTTCTTGTATGGATTTAATATTATTTTGCTGCTATGAAAGATTTAACATTTCAAGGTGACATTTTAGCCACTACCTGTTATTTGGAAGGTTTGCCATATTTTTGTCAGTGTGATTGATTTTTGGAACCAAAGAGAAATATGAGTTCTGAAAACTGAAAGCTAGACTCTATCCTGCCTTGTTCTATGTGACTAATGAAATTGGATGGCCTTTCAGCAGCTACCAAACCATTTTATTCAATCCTTATGTCTTAGTGACGTCAGAAGAGAGTAGGCACCGCCATGACTGGTGTGGCTCAGTAGGTTGGGTGTTGGCTGCAAAGAGAAAGGTTGCTCTGTGCCTGCCAGGGCCCCTGTCCAGGTTGCTGGCCAGGCCCCCGGCGGGGCATGCAAGAGACAGACGATGGCTGTTTCTCTCATACATCAGTGTTTCTCCCTCTCTCTTTCTCTCTTCTTCCCCCTCTCTCTAAAAATGAATAAATAAAAAATTTTAGAAAGTAGGCAGCCAAGTACTTTGTATGAAGACTAATACCACAGATGAGTCTATCCAGCTCAAAGATAAATTAAGTTCTGGATACTAGTTTATAAAAATAAGATATACTATTCGTAGCATAACAAAAACTGATAAATGTGTGAGTAAATGAACAAGACACATCCAAGTGGAAAATATTTATGAAATTGAGAATACCATACTACTAATAAGCTACCTGCCCTTAGAAACTCATTTATTACAATACCAATTACTGTTTTATCACAACACAGAAGGAGCCCAACATTAATACTCTAATGACAAATTACTTTGCCTTTGCTCGGATATTTTTTTCTAAATTAAAACCTTCCTAAAGATATTATTTATCTCCATAGAAATTTTTGTTTGTTTTTATTTCACGGCCCATAGCCACATACCAATTCTTTCTAAAGTACC